ATTGACAATGAATAAGAGAGTATTTCTCTTTAATTCTCGGTGAGTTAAAAGAGCTGATTTGGAGTTAGATTACACTTCAAATCATTAGTAAGCTACGTTGCAAAGGTGTGTACACAGACACAGGTGCGGATACGGGACATGACAAATTTGTAAAAGATAGGATACGGGAGCCCGGCTATATATACATATGGAAATTAACAATTTATATGAGATTGATATTGTGTTTTCATTCATATGTTATGAGAACAAAGATCTCTTTAACATGTTTATGTTTCTTTTATTGAATAGTTTATAAATTTGAACGACCCGAGTCCAACGAGTTTGCAAAAGTTTGAGGGGAAGTGTAAGATGTATGTCCAAGAAGTGTATTATGAGTGTTTTAAACTAAAACATGTATTATATAGTTGAGTACACGTCTGAATAAATGTGTGTATATTCAAGAAGGGTTCAAGGAGTGCCGGACACTGACACAAATACGGGAAGTGTCGGACACGGATATGGGAGCCAAGAAGAAGTGTCCGGGTAACTTAGTAAGTAATAATAAATTAATTTCATTAGGTAAGAACTTCTTACAGAATAAGAAATCCATAGTGCCTTATCTCATAAAGTTCCCTATATTGTTCTTCAGCACCAATTTTTGTCTGATAATTATTCCCAAAAAGGTTGCTTTCCCAGGAAACCCTCTTTTGGAAACTGTCCAATTAGAAGAAATATCCCTGTTAAATAGCACGTTTAACACATCCCCATAGCTTGGCTTTCCAATGATTTCGAGTCTCTTGTATCTTAGTGCACTGTTGTAATGGTATCTTATTGCGCATGTAGGTTTGGAGCGTTTGATTGCGAAAACAGAAGACGAATATGTCCAACTTGCATTAGATCTGGCATCTAATGCGTTGGCACTCTCAGAGCTGAGACTCACTCTCCGGGAACTCATGGCAAAGTCTCCAGTATGCCATGGAGCGAAATTTACAAAAGACCTCGAGTCTGCATACAGAAACATGTGGCATAGGTATTGTCATGGTGATGCGCCGGCCCTGAAGAACATGGAAGCGCTTAAACTGCACCTGCCACAGTCAGAGAAGATCACCATCATGTTCTCTGACATTGGAGAGGCCACTGGTGTGGAAGAGAATCATCAACAACAAGCTGTGAAGGCTAATGGCATGAGCTTGGTTTCTTTATCCACTCCTAGTTTGACTAGCTCGCAGGAGAGCCAGAGTCAGATTGTAAACGGTGTCAGGCCTAGCTAGGTAAATATTTGACATAGGTAATTTCTATGACATTCTTTGGTAAAACTTTGGTGGTGGTGGTGGTGGTGGTTGATGCTGTCGGATCTGAATTGGGGAAATGGGTGGTGATTCGGTCCCTTGGTGGGTGCCATGTTGTTTCATTGACGATTCTACGTTGGCGAAAAAACAGGGAAATATTTATATGCAGTCTAAAGTTTACCGATGAAATATTGAGATACAAGTTGGCCCTGTTTTGTTGCGGTGCTGGAGAGGAGCACTGAAGACTGGCTTTTTGGTAAAGCAGGGAGTTTGGTTATTTGGGAGGTTCATGATTGGAAACAGCTATGGGGTTTTGTTTAGGGTGGAAAAGATGGGAGGCCTTACTCTTGTCACTTTGATTATAATGTTGTAACTTTTATAGTTCCAGCCTCCATCTGTTTGTTGCTACATGTATACTTCCTGGATATCCAAAGCTATATATGTGATATGATATCCCTCGAGTTATATCAGTCTCTCTCTCTCTCTCTCTCTCTCTCTCTCTCTCTCTCTTCTTCTTCTCTCTTCATTGAACTAGTCCACCAGTATTAAAGATTATGCAAATAAAATCAGTGCGAGCGATGGTTTCAGGCTTTTTTTTCTGTTTAATCTGCATATTTGATAGAACTACGTATGCAAAATAGTTGTGCACCGTGCATCTCTCACGTACATCAAGAATAATTTTTGAGTCAAAGAGTTTGCATAGACAACAGCATGCTATTTAAGCAGAGGGTGTTGATGGCGCTACTTAAGCAGACGGTTCTATACCGTGCATCTCTTTACACGCATCAAGAATGATATTTGAGTCGAGAGGCTACAAAGACAACCGCCAAAAAGCTGGTACGACAAACTTGGAATTGGCTAGATGTATTCTTTAATTTTATTTTCAAATTCTTTCTAGGTACTTTTAATCATGATCAAACTATATCAATCAACTCTTCCTCATTTTATCCCAGGACCAACCTTTGTTATAGTAGCATAATTATCACATTTATCACAATTATCAAATTTGAAACTCATAGTAACATAACTATCATAATTACCACATTTATAATTCATTTCTTCTTTGAGGTTATAGTAACATAATCATCACACTTAAAATTCATAAAAATCTCTACTTTGGAATGATTAGAATAGCCACGGAGGGTTGTCTTGTACATGTTCTTCCATAATTTCTTTTTTCCTTCAAAAGACAGATTTACAGCCGCGGTATCAAGCTAGTCTTGACATAAAAGAAGCTCAAACAGTTTGTCTATATTCAAGCGGATAGTCTTGACATAAAAGAAGCTCAAACATTTTGTCAATATTCAAGCACAAAGTGCACGATCTCCGGTGGTTTTTGCAACATACAGATATATGGAGTTACTTGGAACATATCAGTCCTTCACTGTTGTCCTCAATATCTTCACTTCATGGATAGGCCTGGTGGTTCATAGGGGGGAAACGAAACAATGAACAAAGAGAATAGTCAATTAGAATTGAGCTCCAAGATCGAATGACGAGAAAAAGAAAAACATTCCACGATAAAGATCTTATGAAAGAAAACAACGAAACACCGAAGTCCTATTACATAATTGAACTTCACTCTATTGGTTAGTTTCACCAATATTTTTTGTCAATACTCGTTTTGACCCTAAGACAATGAAATATGCATGTTCGTGAGTTTTGCCCTTATTTTTTTGTTCCGATGCAATCTATATCTATCTATAAATAAATAAATAAAAGAACACTGGGGTGCCAACTTTGAATGCCCATTTTTCCCTCCCAATTTTTGATAATACCCAGTTATTATCACTAATTAATCTTCCGTTGAATAGTCATTCATAACCTCTTGTTAGCTATGCACCTCCTCACCCTCCCATTGTTCACGGACTAGAATATTATTTGAATACTATTACTTAAATAAAGAATTAATTTACTAATTATAATATAATAAACTGATTTATATAATTGTTATATTTATAGTTACAAATAGTATTATAATTCGATAATGTATTATTAATATAAATAAGAATATATAACTATAAAATAAGATATTAATCTATTATAATTATCCTAAATTACAATTATGTGTTGTAATTGTTAGAATATATTATCATACTAATAATTATTTAAAAGATAAAACAAGTATGTCCATGTATAAAGCATGTGCACTAGAGCAATAAAGAACGTGCGCTTCAAAATTCGTGAGCTTTATCCATTTTCATTTATTTCGACCTAATCACAATGAAGTATGTTCACTTCAAATTCCATATTTTTATGGATTATCAATCATGATTTTTGTACGTCTTTGTTGCTCGACCGAATTTTAATTAAATATGCATATTTTTAAAATTCACAATTTTCATGAGCTAACTCATGGTCTTTGTCTATTTTCATTTCTTTTGGCCCAATCAAAGTAAAGTATGCATTCTTCAAATTTTGAGATGTTCTTGAGCTATAACTCACGCTTTTTGTTTACGCTTTTTGTTTAGTTTCATTTGTTTCGGCCGATGACAATAAATTATGCGTTCTCCAAAATTCTTGATTTCATGAGCTATAATTCACGATTTTTGTTCATTATTGTTTATTTTAACCCAATGGAAATTAAATATGCATACTTCAAAATTCACGGTTATCATGGGCTATATTGTAACCTACGCTTTTGTATATTTTCGTTTGTATAGACACAAATACAATGACTGAAACATGCATATTTCAAAATTTGCTATTTTCATGGGATACGATCCATGATTTTTGTCTATTTTTGTTTGTTTCGACCTAATGATAGTGAAATGCGCATTATTCAAAATTTGCAATTTGCATTGGCTGTAAACCAAAATTTTTGTTAATTTTTGTCCGTTTTCAATCTAATGACAATAAAGTATACATATACTCCATGATTTTGTCCATTTTTAATCATTACGACCTAAGGAAAATTAAGAATGCATACTTTAAAATTCGCAATTTTCACAGGCACCCACCTTTTTTATACATATTTATTCGTTTCAACCCAATCATAAAGAAATATGATATTTCAAAATTTACAATTTTCATTGGCTATAGCCCATGATATTTTTCTATTTTCGTTTGTTTAGACCCAATAGCAACAAAATATGAATTCTTCAAAAGCAACAAAATATGAATTCTTCAAAATTTACGATTTCCATTTATTGTAACACATGATTTTTGTGAATTTTTCTTCATGTTAACCTAACAAAAATTAATTATGCAAACCTGAAAATTCACAATTTTCATGAGCATACAACCAATAACTTTTTTCCTTACTTCTTTCGTTTCAACCCAATGACAATGAAGTATGCCTACTTCGAAGTTCATGATTTCATGAGTCATAATTCACGATTATTTTCACTTTCGCTCATTTCAACCAAATGACAATTAAGTGTGCATACTTAACATTCACCATTCCTCATGATTTATAACCCACAATCTTCATTTGTTTAGATCGAATGGCAATGAAGTACGTGTACTCTGCAATTTGTAGTTTTCCACGGGTTAAATCATGAATCTTTTCCAATTTAGTTCGTTTTTGTTCCGATGACAATTAAGTATATGCACTTCAAAATTCTCTATTTTCAAGCCAATGATTGTCTAATATGGTATTTCAAAATTCAGATTTTGTGTGGGCTACAACGGAATTTTTTTATCTGAATGATCCAACAATTAAGTATGCATGCTTAAAAGTTTGCAATTTTCCTAGGTTATGCATACTTTTTTTTTGTTGGTTCAATCCAATGTCAAGTGAGTATACTATTTCAAAATTTGCGATTGCATAAGCTCTAACCAATTTTTTTCCAAGTTCATTTCGACCCAATGGTGAAGTATGTGTACTTCAAAATTGGAGATTCTTAAGGGTTATAACTCATTATTTTTTTTTCATTTTCGTTCCAATCTAATGACAGTTAAGTATGCATGCTTAAAACCTCACGAAATTTGTCCATTTTTATTTATTTTGATCCAAAGGCAATAAAGTATATATAATTCAAAATTTTATTAACCAATGACTTTTGCTCATTTTTGTTTGTTTTGACCCAATAACATTAACTTATAAAATTTTTCATTTTCATGAGCTAAGCCACTGTTTTGATCATTGTCATTTGCTTCAACCTAATGTTAATTATGTATACATACTTCAATATTCCCGATTTTCAAGAGCTAACATACGGCTTTTGTCTATTTTCTTTTGTTTTGTCCCAATGACAATGAACTATGTGTACTACAAAATTCTTGATTTCACGAGCTATAATAAATAAATTTGTCCATTTTTTGTTAATTCGGTCTATTGAAAAATAAGTACACATACTTCAAAAATATTCGTGATTTTCAAGAGCTAACGCATGGTTTTTGTTTATTTCCTTTTATTTTGACCCAGTGACAATGAAATATGTGTATTTCAAAAATCGTATCCGTAATTTTTGTTCATTTTGACCTAATGAGAATTAAGCAAGCATATTTCAAAATTTGTGATTTTTATGTACTATAACATATGATTTATCTATGCTTGTTCATTTGATCCATCAACAATGAATGATGGGTTTTTCAAAATTCATAGTTTTCATAAGCAACCCAAGATTTTTGTACATTGTTTATTTGTTTTGACCAGATGGTAGTTTAGTATGTCTATTTCGAATTTCATATTTTTCATGGGCTATAACCCACTTATTTGTCCATTTTCATTCTTTTTGCCTAACAACAATTAAGTATGTGCATTTGGAAATTTGCAATTTCCTAGACTATACCTCTATATGTCGTCCATTTTTGTTGGTTAGACCCAATGTCTATCAAGTAAGCTATTTAAAAATTTGTGATTTTATGAGTTCTAACTCATATTTTTTGTTTTTTAGTACATTTCGATCCAATGATGAAGAAGTATGTGAACTTTTAAATTCACAGTTTTTATAAGTTAACCTACAAATTTTTTTTTTCGTTCATTTCAACTAAAAGGCAATAAAGTAGGCATACCGCGAAATTCACGTATTTCATTGACTTTTTGACCAAGGGCAACAAGGCATGCATATGCTATTTTCATGGGATATAACCCCATTTTCTTTTTATTTTTGTTTGTTTCAACTCAAAGTATGAATGCTTCAAAATTCCCGATTTTGATTAGCAATAACTCACATATTTTCCACTTTTTTTAATTTTAACAAAGCAATGCATATGCTATTTTGGGATATAACCCACATTTTCTTTCTATTTTTGTTTGTTTCAACTCAAAGTATGCATGCTTCAAAATTCCCAATTTTGATTAGCATTAACCCACATATTTTTTCACTTTTTTAAATTTTAACAAAATGCACCTAAATATGCAACTTCAAAATTCGTGACCTTCATGGGCTAACCAGAATTTATCTATTTTTCTTGTTATCCTAATAGCAATCAGTCATGTGTACACTAAGAATTGTAATTGCTATAAAAATTATTTTTTATTTATTTTTATCTGTTTTAATCTAATGACAATTCAATATGCATATTTCAAAGTAAACGATTTTTAAGAACCATAACTCACAAATTTTTTACGTTTTCATATGTTTTTACCCAATGGCGTGAAGTGTGTATACTTTAATTTATGGGTTAAACAGCAGTTTTTGTTCATTTTCATATTGATAGCAATGAAATGTCTACGACAAAGTTTCCAATTTTAATAAGCTCTAAACCACGATCTTTCTCCATTTTTGTTCATTTCCCCTAATAAAAATATGCATACCTGAAAATTCGCAATGTTCATGAGCTATTACCTACGTTTTTTTGTATTATTTTGACCCTATAGTAATGAAATGTGTACTTTAAAAATTGCGATTTTCATAGGCTATATACAATCTATGAGTTGTCTATTTTAGTTCGTTTCAACCTAATGACCATGAATCATTCTTCAAAATTTGTGATTTTCATGAGCCCACGATTTTTATCAATTTTCATTTGTCTGACCTAATGATAATTAAGTATGCATACTCCAGAATTCACAATTTTCATGGGTAGTAACCCATAATTTAGTCCATTTTTATTTGTTTCAACCCAATGACAAATGTATACTTTAAAATTCACAATATTTCATGGGTTAACCCATGATTTCAGTCCATTTTCACTCGTTACGATCAATTGCCAGTTATATATTTGTACTTTAAAATTCACAGTTTTCATAGACTATAACCCATATTTTTTGTCCAAATTCGTTTCAGCCTAATGACACTGAAGTATTTGTACTTCAAAATTGGTGAGTTTTATGGGCAATAACCCACAAATTTTTTCCTACTTTTGTTCATTTCGAAATAGCAATGAAGTATGAGTTTTTCAAAATTCACGATTTTAATAAGTTATAACCCATAGTTTATGCTACTTTTTGTTTCTTTTGTGCCAATTTTTGTTTCTTTTGTGCCAATTTTTGTTTCTTTTGACCCAATGACAATTACGTGTGCACATTT